TTTGAATTTTATTAAAATGATTATATTCGAGTCGTGGAACAAAAAAAAAAAAAAGGAAAATGGCGTTCGTCAGTCATCGTTCCCCCTTTTTTTTTTTTACTTACTCACTCACCCTCTCTCCCTCTCTCTCCCCCTCTCTCTCTCTTGTTCAGTCATCTATATCGAAAATGTCGGACGGAAAGAGTGGGGGTGGGGAAGGGAAACATTTGATAATGCAACTTTAGAAAAATAATAATAATAATATTAATAATGAACCTAAAAATCGGTTTAGAAAATTTTTTTTTTTTTTAAGGAACGAATAATGATAATAATAACAACAACGTTTGTTACATCATCATCATCATCATCATCGCGAGCGAACGTTGTAATAGATCGTTACTTTTTTTTTTTTTTGGGGTTGGTAGTATTAATAATAATAATAATAATAATAATAAGGGGTTAAAATTTTTTTTTCAAACGCGACGAACGAACGAACGTTAAGGCGGCGTTTTTGTCGTTACTTTTCGCATGGAAATTCTTCGATTATTCCCTAACAATAAACAACAGCAACAACAACAACAGCAACAACAGCAACAACAACAACAACAACCACAACGACGACAGCAAACTCTTCGACATTACTTTACAAAAATTTCTGTCGGAATTTCATAATTTTTCCTTTCCTTTCCTTTCCTTTCCTTTAAATTGTGATGATCACACCTCGCGGAAAAATCCAATTATTATTATTATTTTCTTTTAACCTTTTGACCTTTCTTTCCCTTTCCAAATCTTATTCCTATCAATATGATTTACCTTACAATACTTTACGTTTTTCTTTTTACAATAAAAAAATAATAAATTTTAATAATGTGTGTGTGTGTGTGTGTGTGCGTACGTGTGTACGCATGCGTGTATGTGTGCGTGTGTACACATGTGTGTGCGTGTGTGTGTGTGTGTGTATGCCTTTACAAAAAAAACTTTTAAGTCACTTCTTTTAATTACCTAACGATGAATCGGATTGACGGAATCGAGTTTTTCTGGAGAAGAGGATGATGCCTTATCATCTGGATAACAAGTCCTTTCTCCTTTTTCTTCCTGGACGTCAAACACTCTTTCCTGCATATAAAAAACATCATCATCATCATCATCATCGTCTCTACGATGCCAAATTTCTCTAAAGGGATTTTAATAGGTTCTAACCTGGGATTTGTCGTATTTTAACCTTTTCCACAAAAAAGGTTTCTTATCGTTTGTTGTTGTCGTCGTTGTCGTTGTCGTCGTCGTCGTCGTCGTCGTCGCTCCCGGTTCGACGTTTGATGACGTGTAATTAGGATTGCTGAACGTCAGTACGTTTTTAGAATCGGAAAACATGTACTTTTTCTGTTTTTTACGTTTCCGACGAAATAAAACAACGAGGGAAAACGTTAATGAGAGTATTATAAGGACGCAAAGTATCTGAAATTTTATGGAAAACACATTATTATCATTATTATTATTTTAAATACCGCTGAATGATGGAAAAGCGTTCTTGGACGGTTAAATTCAAATTTTAACTCACGGTTATGACGCATATTAATAAAAGCTGTTTGGAAACTGAATCTTTCGTCATGGAATCGTTCGTGGCGTCTATGTTTGGATCTCCGTGGATTTTATCCAGTTCGCTTTTAGTTCCGCCATCGACTCCGTGTATTATTAAATCATCATCATCATCATCACTTTTAGGTATCGTAATTTTTTCTTTGGGCTCTACGGAAAAAAAAACCCCCCCATTTTTAAAATCAATCCTAATGTAATTTACGGTAGTTTTTTTTTTGTTTACCTTTTTCGCAAGGTCGATCGTCAGGTACGTCTGGACAAGCGCAAATATAATCCTTTCGCCGGAATAGGCACAAATGTGAGCAAAATCCATTGTTTTCCTACATCATACAACATTTATTTCAATGTAAACGAACGAACGTCATTCTTTAACGATTTACATGATTCGACAGGTACAAACCTGGCAAGGAGACCACCCCAACTGTCTCTTGCTCGAAACTGCTTTTATTTCCATTACACTTTCCAATTCCGATCGGATCGGCATACGATCTCTTCCTGTTGTCTTGTCGGCTCTTTCGACCGATTTCGAATACCAATCCGTCCAGTAAATGTGTTCTTCAAACTGTCGATTAAAAATTCGTATTTATTGTATTACACTCTCTTTACGAATCGCATTCAAGCGTGATAATAATAATAATAATAATAATTACAATTGTTAAACCGAACGGATGAGTTGCAGCGGGTACCAATTGCACTCTGTTTCTACCGTGCAAATCGCTAAATTCAATTCTGTCCTTTAAAGCATCTGCCCAATATAATTTCAATGCTGTGTAATCGACTGCGAGTCCATTTGGAAATCCTAAATCCGCTCCTATGATGACTCGCCTTTGAGATCCGTCCATGAATGATCTTTCGATCCTCGGGGAATCCCCCCAATCCGTCCAATATAAATACCTGAAAAATCAATCGAATCACTACCGAATGGTCAACGCATTTTTTTTAATAATAATGATAATAGAACGACCGTATATACCCTCTTCCGGGAAACACAGTTATGGCTCTTGGTTCGTCTAATCCTTTGTTAAAAATGACCTTGCGACACTTTCCATCTATTTTCGATACTTCCAATACTTTTCTACCCGTGTCCGTCCAATATAAATTTTCCGATAGCCAATCAACGGCGATACCATCCGGCGTCGTTAAATTTTCTTTTATTATTATTTTATTTTCCGACAGGTTTTTCATGTTCACCCCCCTGCAAAACACATAGGTGTTAGTAACGGTACAATGTACTGACAAAAATAACACCTGTTGCGTACCTTATGACGTCCAAATTGACATCCGAGTAAAAAATTATTTGCTTGTTCCAATGAAAGTCGACGGATATGGAATTTTGTATGTCTAATATGGGGAGTGTCACATCCCAAAGTTCTTCCGTGTCCAGAGAAACGCGTACCAATTTACTCCTCGTCGCGAATAAGAGGAAGGTCGATGGTAAGTGATTACACGTTTTGGAATCCTCCTAAACGTGACAAGAACAAGAGGTGAAATTGGAATGCACGAGCGCATGATGGAGGATACAACCGTCAGGTCGACCGGATGCCGATACCGGAAGTATGCGGCATACCGGAAGTGGTGGTTGTAATAGGGACTGTACGAGTACATATTCTATATTGGTGTGTATAATGATGGCCTGTACGGATGTACAGACGCTACAAAAATTGTGAAAAATATTCACAAAAGTTCCCCTCCACGGAAATCTTTAGTAAAAGGCGAAAGATTTATTCGTTATGAAGGGAAACACGAATTGACGAACTATAAGGTAAGCATTAAATTCTTATTGTGAAACAAGTAATTGTTCAGTTTGACGATTTGATAAAAATTCCAAAGAATACGAACGCAAAATGAAAATAATTAATTTTTGCGCTTTTGTAATTATTATTATTCCCTTGTCGACGTCATAAAAATAAAAATTATTAATTATTTATAAATTATTATAAAAAAAATTTCGAAAAAAATATCACCGAAATTTAATTATTAAAATCAGAGACATCTAACGGTTGTTTTTGAAATTAATAAATTTGCACCAACGCGATGACGTCATTATTATTTCCCCTACACCTTTTCTAAAATAAACGCACCTTTAAATAGTTTTTTTTTTTTTTTTTTACCTGGAGAACTATTCCGGTTGGACAAGCGCACGCGAACCCTTCCGGTTTTCGCAAACACAAATGTGAACAACCGCCATTGTCGCTTCCGCATGCGTTTTCTGCTATGTTTTCCGCCTGGAAAATCATGAAAACAAAATTTTTTTTTAATCGTGCTTGCTATAATTAATCATTATTATCATTACATCTTACCTGGACCGACCGAATGTCCATCAGACCCTCCAAACCTTTTCTGATAACTTGACTATCGCTTCCGTTTCTTTTATCCGCTCTATGAACGGATTGCGTTTTCCAATCCGTCCAATACATGTGCGTACCCACAATAACCAAGCCGTACGGATGAGGTACCTAATAAACAATTCCATTGTTAGTTTGCGAATGAATAAATTTTTGTATAAAAACCCTAAAAGTGAAAATTACTTCTCGGACAATTATTTTCCTTCCTCGGCCTTCGAGATCAGAACTTTCGATCGTTTTTCTTTTTCCATCGTTCCAGTAAAGTCTTCCTCCCGGTCGATCTATAGCCAACCCATTTGGCCAATCCAAATCGTCAGCTATGAGAACTTTTCTGGAAAATTTAAATCGTTAGCCATTGGCTTTTCCCTTTTTCTTTTTTTTTGGAAAATAGGATTTACCTGTTTTTACCATCCATATCTGCTTGTTCTATTCTTGCTTTTTTACCCCAATCGGACCAAAACATGAGACCGTGATGATAGTGTAAGGTGATAGCTCTAGGATTTTCCAAATCGGACCAAATCAATACTTTTCTATTCGTTCCATCTAATTCACAAATTTCTATGCTGTTTCTACCCGCATCAGTCCAGTATATCTAAAATTTAATAAAAATTAATAAATGAAAATTGAAAAATTGGGAAATACAAAAAAAAAATTAATTTCTGCTCATTTCTAGAACCTTCCGTCCCGTTGAATCTACGACGATTCCGTCTGCTGTATCTAAACCATCAATTATGATCCTATCAACATTATAGCCGTCTCGAGATGCTCGCATAATAACATCTTCAGTCGTATCCGTCCAGTAAATATCACCTGATTTCATACAGGAATGCATACGTTATTATAAAATGAAAGAGAGGACAATATAAATAGCATTCGTAAAACAATCAATTTAAAAAAAATTTTTAACCTGTTTTTCTATCCACGTCAACTCCTTTTGTATTTTTCATCGGAGGCAAAGGAAGGACCGTGTCGACTAAATAAGGTACGTCCAACGAAATTTCTCGAATATCGATACGATGAGCAAAAATTAAAGAATTCGTAGGTCCGGGAGCGCATGTTTTACCATCTCTCTACGTTTATACAAATAATTGTAAAAGGATTAATGGTCGACGACGATAAATCGTAAAAGTTAAAACTCACCAGTAGTTTTATCCCGATTGGACAAGCGCAAGAATATTTTTCAGGTGGTGGAGCTATTAAGCAAAGATGAGAACAACCGCCATTTTCAATGAGACACGGTGAATGAAATTTTTGAAATTCCCGATGGAAAACTCTTACGTCCATAAGACCCGATATTCGATCTCTTTAATAAAAATTAGAAATTAATACCTGCGAAAAACATTCCATAAACCTTTTTTTTTTTTTATAATATCCGTGTGCGTACCTTAAAATCGCACCATTTTTCCCGGTATTTTTATCAGCCATGTGTATGCTATTCGTTTCCCAATCGGTCCAGTATATATTCTTACCGAAGAGTGTCAATCCGAACGGATGACGTACTTCGGTACCTGAAACTGAAAACGTTTGGTTAATTTTTTTATTTCATTCAAGTCATGAAAAAAAAAAACAGAAACGTACTCCTTAATGTTGTCCTTCCGGAACCGTCTAATCTCGAATATTCGATTGCTTTGGTGCCGCCGTCAACCCAATAAATCCGACTTTTCTCATGATCAATGGCTAATCCATTCGGCCATATTAAATCTTTTGAAAAAAGAATTTTACGATTTGATCCGTTCATTCCGGCTCTTTCGATTTTCGGTGTTTTTCCCCAGTCGCTCCAATACATGTAACCACCTGAAATACATGATGGATTAAGCCATACGCAATTAAATAATTTTTAAACGGATGTGAGCGACAGGTACCGATAGGTTCTACGACTATATCTCTTGGCTTGTCTAATCCGTCCCAAATCAATAAAGCTCTCATTGATCCATTTAAATTAGATAACTCTATCCTGTTCGTGCCTGCATCCGCCCAATATAACTTTTTGGTTACCCAATCGATCGCTAGACCGGAAGGAGATTCTACAAAAGAAGTAATGAAAGCGTGTAGTATAATATAAAGAATAAAATTATTTTCCAAACGGATCAAGTACCTAGATTACTACTGATGACAACTTCCTGATTAGAACCGTTTAAAAAACTTTTACTTATTCTATGACTTTCAACGTCGGTCCAATAAATGGTATTTTTATCAGAATCGAAAGCAAGGGCGACAGCCGATCGAACTTGATCCAGAGGTATAACCATATCAATGATCCCGACTTCTTTTCCCTGTCCCAATTGGCGTAATCTAATGTCTTTATTCCTTGCAAAAATTAATAGTTTTTCAGGAGTGTCCGTACAGCTTTTTCTAAAATGAAAACGTTTAAACATTTTTTAACAACAAGTTTAACTTTAAATAAAATTCTTCTTATGTTTTATTAGCAATTACTTGTCTTTATGAAGGTGTAAACCAAGTGGACAAGCGCATCTGTAGGATGATTTAGTCGGTAAGCATAGGTGAGAGCACCCACCGGTATTGTTACCGCAGTGATTGGTAAAAGATGGCTGACGTTGAGAGTGAAAACTACGGATAAAAATTTTGTTATGAAGTTTTAAGTGAAATGACCTTTTTTTAAACTTCAATATCATTTGTACCTGTGTATATCCATGGGAAAATGTAAGCCCGTGTGTACTATTTTATAACCCATTCCAGTGTCTTTATTAGCACTTGCTATGCTTTTTGTGTGCCAATCCGTCCAATAGATGGCTTCCTCAAACAAAGTTATAGCAAACGGATGAGGTAATCCTTTGGTTACAATCTGAAAGAGGATTGGTTCGTTAAAAAATCAAGGTATACTTGTTAAAATTAAAAAACTGTTTCCGTACCTTTCTTCTTTCGCTTCCGTCAAATTTGGCACTTTCAATTGCATGATGTTTAGCATCCGTCCAATACAATCGATCTATGGCATAATCTAAAGCTAAACCATTGGGCCAAAATACTCCTTCGGTTATTATGCTTTTCCTATTACTTCCGTCCATTTCGGACACTTCAATTTTCGGTTTCGGTCCTGCGCAAGAAATAAATAACTAACGGGAACTCTCATTAAAAGAACGATTTCATTTAAAAATTTTACATGGAAAAAACATACCCCAATCGGTCCAAAATACAACAGCTAAACCTGGATGAACAACTATCGCTCTGGGTTTATCCAAATCGTTGGAAGCAATTACGGATCTGTGTTTACCGTCTAAAGTAGCAACTTCTACCCTGCGAGTACCAGAATCCGTCCAGTATAGGAGGTCGTGAATCCAATCGATAGCTACACCTCCTGGAGATTCTAATCCCCATTTAATAACATCTAATTTTCGTAATAAGATTTGTCGTTAGCATCGCATTCTAAATAAAAAATTTTCTTATTTAAGAAAAAGTTTATACTAACCTGATTTTTCGGTTCCGTTAACTTTTGCTCGTTTAATCACGTCCATAGATACATCCGACCAATAAATCCAACCTTTATTATAATGATAATCGATAGCTATGGCATTTTGTAAACCTTTTAAAATTGCCGTGTACCTTAAATTGTTAAGACTTACCTAAAAGCAAATTTGATTATTATTTCAGTAATAAAACATTTGTTTGGTTAAGTGAACTCGTCGTTAATTTTACTTGTCTTATATCGATCCTATTGGCAAATATTAAGGTTGGTGGGTCACCGATGGCTTTACAAGTTCGTCCATCAGGTCTCAATACGTAACCTTTTCTACAAAGGCACGTAAATGATCCAATCGTGTTATTGCAAATCTGACTGCAAACGGGATCGTACTCAAATTTGCATTCATCGATATCATCGCAACTAAAAAAAATCCATCAATTTGTACTCGTTGAAAATGAAAAAAAAAAAAAAAAATCGATAAAACCTTTAGGGACGTACGTGTGGTTATCACTTGACAAAATAAATCCTGCTTCACAACTGCAAGCATCTCTCCCGTTGGATAGTACCACGCACAACTGTTGACATTTCGAATCATCATCACATTTCTTTTTTTTCGGACAGTTACGTTCATCTGAAAATTAAAATCAACCGTTGAAAAATTTTTGTTTTGTGAAACGATTTTAAATTGAGCATTCGCGACGACGAAAATTTTCTAACCTTCTCCTTTCGGACAGTCTTTTTTCCCATCGCAAACATGTTTTCGACCGATGCAATTTATCAAAGGCTTGGGCGATTTCCGAATGAGAATGGCGGACGAATCGTTTTTTTGATGAGCAGCGCAATTAAATTGAGTTTCGTGACAAGTTTGTTCGCAATTTTCTTCGTCTTCGCCTTTGGAACAATCCTGAACATTATCGCAAAGCCAGGTTTTCTATTTGGAAACAAAACAAAAATTTCATTCTCTGCAAATTTATTTTCATTTCCACGAGAAGTAAAATTCTCACCAAAATGCAATTTCCATTGTTGCAAGAAAATTCATCCGGACCGCAGGTTTTGGGTAATTTTTCAGTACAGCCCATTTCATCTTCGCCATTTTCGCAATCCGTTTCCTCATCGCATTTCCACAATTCTGGAATGCAACGTCCGCCATTACATCTTGAAAAATAAAGAGGTATATAAACGATCATTAATTTCTTAAACAATCAACGACATTTCTTCGACAAAACCCCAAAAACTAACTTAAATTCTGAAGTTCCGCAACTGGATTCCGTATTGGGACAATTTTGTTCATCGGACCAATCGCCGCAATCGTTATCGCCATCACATTTAAAATTTTTTTTTACACATCTCGGATACGCACATTCAAATTCATTTTCATTACAAACGTGGGGTTCTTGAGCTAAAAGTTATGATAAAAAAAATTTTAAGTTAAGACGACCAATACAGTCACAATAATTGTTGTTGGTTAAATGCATACCGCAATCTGCTTCATCTGATCCATCGGAACAATCAGGTTCGAGATCGCATTTCCATGATAATGACACGCAATTACCATCAGTACAATGAAATTCATTTATGGAACAAGCGCTGGAAAAAAAAAGAAAAAAATTAATTTTAAAACTATTATAAATTTTACTGGTTTACGTATTATATAAAATTTTGATTTGTACTTTTTTTTCGTGCAATTGGTTTCGTCAGAATAATCTTTACAATCGTTGTCACCATCACAAAGCCATGATTTCTGTATGCAAAATCCATTATTACATTCGAATTCTCCCTCGGTGCAATTTCGTCCTAAAATCCAAATAAATAAATGAACTTTTCCAATTACTTTTATTTTAATTTAAATAAATAATTTCGTTACCATCGCAATGCGTTTCATCGCTGAAATCCCCGCAATCGTCGTCACCGTCACACAACCACGTTTTTTTAATACATTTTCCAGATCTCGGACACCGAACGTAATTATCAGTTTCCAGACAGCTTTGAAAAATGTCCAACTCAGTTTCTCCACATTCTAATTCGTCTTGTTCTCCTGTGCAATCTGCATCGCCATCGCAACGAAAAGTGTTCGGTATGCACGTGCAAGATCCCACGCATAGAAATTCATCTGAAGTTTCGATAAAAATTAGGTTTCGAATCAGGTTTTAAAAATCAGGGAAGTTGTTTTAAAAAAAAATAATTCCCGACCTTGTTCGCATTCGCCCCCGCAGGGACTAAATTTTCCAGCGACAATTTCTTCTTCATCATCTTCTTCTTTTAATTTTAACAGTCTTTCGGACATTTCCTCTTGTCTCATTTCGCTAAAACCTTCTCTCGATATGATTTCTGAATTTCTAGAAATATCCGGCGACGGAAAATTTATTTGTCCGTTTAAATATCCGGTACCTGGAAAAACAGTCCCATTATTACCTATCCCCTCTCACAATTTTACAATGCGAATAAAAACAACACTAACCCCTTACTAATCCGGATCTGTAACTCGGATTTAAATTATTTGTAGATGTTGATTTCCTTGTAAAATCTTCTCCGGGATAACCAAAACCACTACCCGATCCGACGTTGTAATTTGGATATGGTATGGGAGAGTAAAATGAATTACCGGGATAAAAATCTATATTCGGATGATGGGATATGGGTATGGTCATTGGGACGGGCATGGGTTGATACATGTTTGGTAAAAGATGATGTTTGTGTCCGTGATGTCTTCCAAATTTTCCTTTTCCATCTATGTCGTAATTCGAATTGGGTAATTCTGGATGTCTCGCATTGTGTGGATTGATATAACTTCGCCCGTGAGTGTAGTCGTAATGTTTTTTATTATTGCTTAAATTGTATGGTTTTTTTCGCGTACCTTGATTATTTACGCCACCCTAACGAAACGAAAAATAAAAATGAGTTTAATTTAAATACTAAAACCTTAAATTTAAAAACTTTTTCAATAATTTACTCACGGGTTTCAACGATTTCGAATGACTTTTTGAATTAACCGGTGGTGGCAATGGAGAATCAAAATCTATACTTCCATCATCATCGAGTAGAGTAGCCTCAGTATTTTGTAGTTTCCCACAACAAACTTCTTCATGAAATACAAAATTATTATTATTATTATTACTTTTTATTTATTTATTGATACTCAGTTCTTGTAAAATATACTTATGTATTCATGAAATTTGATTGATTTAGGTCAGGTATATACTCTTTAAATCAGAATATAAATAAAAAAGTTGAATTTCATAGGTTTTCCCCCCCTTCCCCTTCCCCTTCCCCCCAAGTTTGAAAAAAATTATTAGGTTTTATAAAAAGGTTCCATCATTGATTAAGTTCTTATGTAAAAATGAAAGAAATTTCCACACACACACACACACACACACACACACATTCAACCTCCTAGAGGAATGAATGAAAATTGTGTAAAAAAAAAAAAAAATTTTCCTTTTTTCATTTTCCCCCATGAAAATTATCATTATTAATTGTGGAAAAGCATCATCAGAAAATTTATAAATTTTAGGAAGTGTAAAATGCAATACAAATCATTGAGAATGAGAGAACATATTGTGACAGAAGGTTTACTAACACAAAATTCATTCTGCATTTTTTCACAAATGTATAATAATAATAATAATAATGATAATTCAGAAAGGAAAAACTGTAGGTCTTACAATGTATAGTTGCCATAGTAACAACATCCCACACAAAAATTCAGTTTATATTTTCCATCTTTATCCAACCATCTATTTCATTCTAACCAATGTAAAATTATATGAGAGTTTCATTCTTTCTCTCTCTCTCTCTCTCTTATTTTTCTTTCCTTTTTCAACTTTTTCCTCTCATTGAATACCGCCGCCGTTCAATGTCTCGCACGTTTACCTCATTCTCTCTCTCTCTCTCTCTTTCATTGTCTTTTTCTCTTTCTACAAACTACATCTATCTTTATCTTCTCTCTCTCTCTCTCAGTTTCACTCCCTCAACTTTTATTGATCTCCCGATTTTACCCTGGTCTACACCAATAATTTCAAAACAACCAACCAACCGACCAGTCAGCCAAACAACCAACCTACCTGATTATTCCTGTTTTCACACAACATTCATTCAAAATCATGTTACGGTAGGTTGGGTGCATTAAATGATGGGAAAAAAAAAAATTTTTAAATCATGTTACCCCCCCCCCATAACACCCCCATTTATTTTTATATGTATCCATTTCACAGTTATTGTCAGAGAGAGAGACAATTTTCATTTGTCATATTGAACAACAGCAACAACCACAGAAAAAGAAATTTTCACATTTTCAAGTGTAATAATAATAATAATAATAATATCCACCACAATGAATGAAATAATTATAATTAATAACCAATTAAAATTTCATTTTATGAAGTTTGGTCTCAGGGTTGCTCTTATGCAATCATAAGCAAATTTTATGTACATGATTGTCATAATAATAATAATAATAATAATAATTTTTTTGATTCAATCTGGGGGAAACAATACAAAACCCCTTAACAAAAAAAATAAAAAATTTGAAATTTTTTTTTTTTTGTACAGTACCTGGTAATTTGACAACTTCCAATGGAAATATCTGTATAAAAAGTAAAACGAAAACGGATGCTGCAGATTTTCTTTTCGGCATTTTCTTTTTTTTTTTTAAATAATTAATTGCAATTTTTTCTTTCACATGATATTATTTATTTTCTTTCTTGATTTAATTCACACAACGAAATATTATAATTAATGTTTTTTTATGCACTTTTTAACAACTTAAATGAAAATTTTTTTTTCTGCATTAAAGTTCAAATATTGTGAAATGAAAAATGGTGACAATTTTTAACAGTTTTTCGAACGAAGCGAACAAAAAATCCGCCCACGCAAATTTTAAAATCATTTATATTTGACACAAAATTAAATTTGATATATAAAACTTAAACTTTATTAATTAATTACTTAATTAATCCACAATTCGAAAATTCATTTTCGCCATTAAAACACAAATTTTATGTAATTATTATTATTATTATTACATATTAGCGTTACATATTTCAAATTTTAAAAAATTTCTAATAATGAGTAGGGTTGCAACAAACGGAAAACTTTTTTTTTTTTTTCGATAAAACTCGATTATAACCGTTGAAAATTAATAAATATTAAATCTTTCCATAGAATTCCAAACGGTTTTTTTTTTCACTTTTCACTTTTCATTGTCATTTATTCACTTATGAAGAATCACATAACGTTTTTTTTTTTGAAAACGCGCGTTCGATTTTCTTATAAATATTTTACATTATTAAACAAATACTTTTTATTAAAATAACATATTAATAATGCCGTTAATGTATTAAATTAATAATAATAAATTAATAAATTCGCCGGGATTTCTTTTCGAGATGTGAATAGCGTTTTCCCGTGATGACCAGGTAATTCCTAACGAAGCGCATGCACCGCCAAATTTAAAGATGGCGTCTTTTTTTTCCTAACGGGTAGACTGGGTCTTGCTTATTTTTAAGCGGTATCTAAAAAAAAAAAACCTGCTAAACATTGAAATTAAGGCATTTAAAAAACTGCCGTCTGTCGGAATTTTTCGGAACCAAAATAAGGAACAATCAAAAAAAACAAATAATAATAATAATAATAAATATTCTTTTTTTTTATTAAATTTTAATTAATTTATTTAATTATTGTTTTTATTTTATAAATTATTTACTTTTATTTAATTAATTTATTTCATTATTTATGAGAAAAGGGAAAAAAAGAAAACTTTACGTTAAGATACGGCTTATAAAAGTTTTGAATGAAACCAAAAAAAAAACCGTTAAATTTAAAGTTAAAGAGACTTGTTAGTGTTGAAAGCTTTTTTTGTTTTAATTTTAATATCACATTACAGGAGAGATAATTTTTGTGAATTGTCATGTCAGCACTTTGTAACATAATACTACAAATAAATACCCTCATATATATTTATTTATTTATTTAAACTATAAATATATGTACATTCATTTTTTTTAAATGAGCTAAAACCTTTTGGCAATAACATATATATAAATATTCGTTTTTAAAATATTTAGCAAAAAAAACCATAACTTATTTATTAAAATTTGTAATTCTTATCATCAACATTTGTTATAATTTATTTGTAATATTTAAAAATTTAAACAAAAATAATGATAGATAAATTCTATTGGTAAAAATGGAAAACATGTGAAGTTGAAATTTCATTAAAAAAAATCTTTTTACAAGTTAATTTATTAGTTAGTCGTCTCATAATTTGTTTTTTTTTTTAATAATAATTCGTTAAATTTAATTCAATTAAAACCATTTGAGCAATTATTAAACAATGGTCTCACCTAAAGGCTTATTAATTGCCTAAGTTTCACACAAATTCGTTTTTTTTTTTTTTCCAAAATTTAACCATGGCTAATTATTTAACACGTTTATTAAATCCTTTTACCTTTTCTAACATTTTTATAAAATGTATATACTCTTAAACGAATCATAACAAATCATAAATCACTCTAGATAAACAATTTTTTTGTTACATATAATTCACAATTCGAATGTAATTTTCCGTTATTCTAATACCACGTCAAAATCTACGCAAAACAACGACATGCTTTTTTCAATTTGTTTTAAACGAAAAATAGATTTTAATGGGACGCAGGGGGAGGGAGGGAGGAAATACACTAAATTTTATTAAAGTTTTGCGTATAAATATTTACTACTCATTGCTCAAAAAATAAAATGTCCAATAAACGACATTGAATAAAATAAACGAAACCGGAAATATAAATCTTGAATATTTATCTATGATGTTAACGTCTTTGATTTTCGGCATTGAATTTTTCAAAGCTGCTGCACCTTTTTTAATGGCGTGAAAAACTTTCGGCTTATTACTTACTGGCACTGTTTTACTTCCTCTAAATCTCAAACCCCCTGAAAAAAGAGTTGTTTTAATAGTAAGGTATTTACATAAATATCATTAAGTGTAAAACGAAACGTACCTGAATTGGGCCTGTACAAACTAGTTCGACTCATACGAAAACTCGGTGGAAATTTTGTCGAGTCATCTAAACCTGTACACGAATGTTGATTATGTTTGTACCTGATGCTGGGAATGGGTGACATTTGAACTTCTTGTAATTCTATTATCTCTTCATTAGATAATCCTCCAGAACTACTGGAAGCCTCTTGACCTAACGCATCGTTTGTTTTAGGCAGGTGAAGAGTATTACCTGATTATTATTATTATTATTTAAAAAAAAAGGTGAATTGGAAAACAAAATGAAAGGTACATCACACTCACTCTTATTATTATTATCTTTATTTTTTTTTGATTTATTTTTTGCCCTTGCTCCCCAATATGTATAGTTGACAGCAGCATATTCTAAAAGAGCAGCAAATACAAATACAAAACACATAACAAGGTATATGTCAATGGCTTTGACATATGAGATTCTAGGTAGGCTACTTCTCACACCCGTGCTTATCGTTGTCATTGTTAGTACCGTGGTTATACCTGTAAAGGTACATCAATGTTAAGACAGTCATCAGGATTAACAGTTATGAAATTTTGATGACATTTACCCAATGCTACTCTTGCACTTGTTGCTTCATGATTTATCCAAAAAGATACCCATGATAACATGACAATTAATATCGATGGAAGATACGTCTGAAAAGGAACGAAAAAATTAAAATGGGAGAAGAGGAAATGGCATACCTGTGAGAGAGATGGACATACCTGAAATATAAAATATCCAATGTTTCTTTGTAATTTGAAAGAAAGTGATAACCTTTGATAAATTCCAGTGGCAAGACTTTCTTTTCTATCATTTGTTTCGTAGCCTATGATTGTAAATTGTGGTAATTGAGCTTTTTCTACTCCTCTTACCGGAGTATCTTTCCAATACATGACAACATCAAGTACGGTGTATCCATCTGGCGAATGAAATCGGTAAATAACACAAAAACAAAATGGCGAAAATGATTTTATTATTATTATTATTATTTCACTTACAACTTTCTATTTCTACGGTACAATTTTGTGAATCTAAAGGATAATAATGAAGATCCATCATGCATGCCAACGTTGTCGTGAAACGCATACCGTAGGTTATACTACCATCGCCATTTAAACGAACAAGTTTATTTCTTTCCGTCACATCGTGAAGAAAACTAAAAAAAAAAATTATTATTTAAAAAATAAACTTTTCTGTTTGTAAAACGGTTTAACAAGAAACCTAAACCCGTACCTGTTTTTATCGTTTGCAAAAAATGTATCAGGTACCCAAATTTTTTCAGCAAAATCACCCGCCAACGTTAATGTTTCATCATCCGTACTAAATGCTAATCTTTCATCTTTCCAATATTGATCTAAATACATTGTGATTGTGTAATCCTGAAAAATACAAAAAAAAATCACGTGACAGTACCTTAAAACCTAAAAAAAAATTTTGTTAAAATTTTAAATTAAACTCACCATATTTACTTCAGATATAGAATCGAAACTTGCTATCGTCATGTCCATTCCAACGTACAATGGGTCACCTTACCAAAAAAAAATTTCTTTTTTATATAATTTTATAATAATAATAATAATAATAATAATAATAATAATGATGATGATGATGGTGATGATGATGATGGTGATGATGATGATTTTTTTAAAATTTTTTCATCGAGTGGTAAAAATTAAATGGAAAAATGGATTTTTTTTGTTTAAATAATTGGTGCTGAAATAAAGCTTTACAAGCAAATTCATTTATAAAAGATAATAATAATAATAATAACAGCACACGCACACACACACACGAGAAGGTAAAACGTTAAGGGAAAATGGAAAAAAGAAAATCTATAAAAGCCCTTGAATGAATGAAAAAAAAAAAACAATCGAAAATTTTTTATTTTTTTTTATAATTGAAGAGGTTTTTAAATATTTGCAAAATATGCCAATTTAAATTTTATTATTATTATTATTATTATTATTATTATTATTATTATTGAACCCTTTTTGAATTTTCTTTGATCCAAAAGAGGGGGGAGGGGGAGGGAAATTGTTGTAGGAGCTTGATTTTGTAGGAGCTCGGGGGCAAAAACAAACAAATAAATGAAATCTTGGAGTTATAAAAGCACAATTATAATTTCCAGAACGTTCGATACATTTTAAAGGGATTTGAATTATGTTGTACGACACGCACACGCACTCACGCATTTCCCTACACTCGCACACCCGCACCCTAATAAATCCTCACCTCCAAAATTTGGTCGTAATCGTATATCGTATCCTTGGAGTAATTTTGAAATGATTTGACTGACATTTTCCAAACGATCGACGGGATTGTTCGGCGTTAGAAGTTTCCTGGAAAAAAAAGGAATTATTTACCTGAAAGAATTTTCCAATATACGTCAAGAAAAAAAAAAAAAAAAAAAACAAACAAAATTTTTCAAATACTTTTTTAACTTTCATTATTTATTTTTAAATAAAAGTTCCCGAGGGAAGTTAACCCCCTTAATTTATAACAAATACAAAATTTATCGATTTCTCTTATCAATAATTGTTCTAAACCTTTCTCTCTCTCTCTCTTTCTCTCTCTTTTAAATAAAAGGTTTATTTTGTTTGTTTAAAAAAAAATTACAATTGTAAGCATTTCATTCATTTATATAAATTGTAAATTTTCATTATCCCGTAAATTTAAAAATGAAAAAATTGTAAATTTGGCATCTTTTTTTTTTAAAATGATATCAGTGAGACATTTACGTTAAAATTCTTCTTTTTTTTTTTTTTTTTTTTAATTTTTCCCATTAACAATGGCTTCATTGTATTTTATATTTTTTTTTCGATTTAAAATAATATAAAATAATTTTTCCCCGCGTGAAAAACAAAACAAAACAAAAAATCTACGACAAAATATCTTTTTTATTATGTTTACATTTTTCGCCGATAGATGTCAGTGATTTCAATCGTTAAATATTTATTTTATAAAATTATTATTATTTAAATTAATTATTCACGAAAACGTTAATTTTAAATTTTTTATTATTAGAAATAACGTTTAATTTTAAATTTAAAAAAAATGTAATGGTTAAAACAAATATATTGCAGTATAAATAAATAAAAAAATGTGACGCGTTAACGTGTTAAGTTAAAGACTCGTTTGTTGTAGAGACCGAGCAGTCCTTGTTGTCGTCACCTCATGTTTCCCTTCATAACGAATAAATCTTTCGCCTTTTACTAAAGATTTCCGTGGAGGGGAACAATAGTGAGACTTTAGGTCAATTTTTGTGGAGCCTGTATATACGTACAGGCCTGATAATTAACATAAACATAGAACCCTTATACACAACCTTGCATTAAATGATTTCGATCATTGAATATGCAATACTCGTCCGTCCGTGTACCGTCTGTTGTACGTGTCACGTGACCCGAGACGTTGCCAAATCGCGTCACATAGTACTACTACCATTACATTTCATACGTTAAAAAAAAAAAAACGATGGGAAAATTAACACATGATGAGAATAAGGATTAACGTGTAATCTCACGTAATTAAAAGGGATTAAAAGGAATTTGTAAAAATCATTTTTTAAATGAAATAAATATGAAAATTAATGGCGAGGGGGGGATGGGGGAGGGGGTGTAAATGATTTTCGTCGTTGAAAACATCCAGTTTTACGTTTTTTTCTAAATACAATTATTAATTTTCTCTATGCTTGCAAATCAGAATTAAAATACTTTTTTTTTTTCCTGTACAAAACAATAAGGGATTAAAATATTTAATAAGTGATTATTAAACGAAAATGGTGGAAGGAAGGGAAGGGGAGGGGAGGGGAGGGGGGGAAATTAATCACGAAATAATTTTAAATGCTGTTCGATTTGAATACTACACGGAATATTGTTTGAATAAAAAACCATAGAGTAAATAATAATCGTTAACGATAATAATCGTTAAAATTCGTATAAATTGTAAAAAAAAAGAATTATAAATATTGATAATAATATTAAGATTGATTATTTAGAGTAATAAAATGATTTAATGACTCTAAAGAAATAATTAGAGTCGAACGAAAAAAAAAAGATATAAACTTACCCAGACGTTAAAGAAGCAACAATCCTTCCGAATAATAAAATTCTCAATAAAAAAATAATTATGACGGGTAAGTGTCGTCTGCTGCATTGCATCATCATTCCTTAGATTATTATAGAGATAAGGAGAGAGAAAAAAAAAAAAAAAAAAAAAAAAAAAAGAATACGCGGTCAAATTACAAAGTGTCGGCCATGTTTAAACATCGATCCAAACTTTTCATCATCATCATCAAATTTTTTTTTTTTTTTTTTTGTTTAATTTAATACGTTTTTCTTGATATCATTTAATTTTATGCTAATTATTTCTTAGAAATTATTATTTAGTTTTAATAATCGTCATTATTAAGTATACGTAAGCGTATTTTTGTTCATTTTTTTTGTTTCATAATTGTTAACCGTCACGACACGTATATAATCGCCATTTGTAAAAAACTACATATCACAAAATGGTAATTCAAACATTTTACATACATTAATATTTTATTTAATGTTTATTTAAGGATTATCACGAAACGAATTCATTTGAAAAATATTACACAATATGTAATCTAAATATAATAAAGATGTGAAGAAAAAAAAAATTATCTTTTATGTTTTGTCACACATTTACATATTCAGGTAACAACAACAACAACAAAAAAATTTTATTATGATAATTTTTCTTTTTTAAAAATTTATTTAACACTTTTTAATTAGTGCAACAGCACACACACAATCACTGTTGTAAAATATAATATCATTTATTTATCAATATATATACACTTTAATATCTTTTCCAGAACAATTTTTCCAGTATGTTTATATCATAACAAAATGAAGATCTTAAATGAAAGAAAAGAGACAAAAACGGTCAAAAACAATGAAAATTTTTAAATTTTATCTTATAAAAAGTGTGTAACGATTTAAAAGAATAAAATGTACACGCACACCTGCACACCTGCACACAAAACACAAAAGAGAAAAAAAATCAATTTGTAAATTTAAAATGAAGATGAAGATGATATTCAACGGTTTATTACTATTATTATTATTATTATAAATTCGTTCACGTTTAATTCATCACTGATTTTCCAATCGAAGGTAATTAATCAATCACTTTTTAAAAAAAACCGTTAAAAAATAATTATTCAAAAAAAATTTTCTTTTAGACGAATTAACGTTTTAAAATACACCAGGACGCGCCATTAAATAAAAAAAAAATGATTTTTTTTCATTCTTTCTTTTTTTTCTCGTGGTAAAATTGTTTTTCCCGACAGCTGAACGAACACATACAATTCATTATCCAACAGCGCATGATCGTGTGATTCTGTTTCGGTCCAAAACTTTGAAGGACGTCTTTCACCTTTTTCTATCTCTCTCTCTCTCTCCCCTTTCTCTCTCTCTCTAAAATCGTTTTATTTCCCCCCCCTTCGCTTCCTCCCCCCTTTCACCACTTACCTCCCTTTATTTTATTATCATCATCATCAATTTTCTTCATAATTTTTTTTATGTATGACAAAGGAAAAAATTTCCTACAGCTTCCTAATATACATATAACAATACAATGACTCCATTTTTTTTTTTTCCCTAATTAAAATTCTGGAGAATTTAATTCCCGTTTAAATATTATTAATTAGGTCAATGGGGTTTTTTTAAACCATTAGAGAGAGAGAGAGAGAGAGAGAGAGAGAGAGAAAGAGGACGAGAAAGAGAGAGAAAGAGGAAGAGAAAGAGAGAGAGAGAAAGCAACAGTTAAAATTGTTTTTTTTTTTTTTTATATTTAATTTAATTAAAAAAAAAGAATCAAATTCAACAAATGATTTTATTTTTTTTTTTAATTAAATAATAATAATAATAATAATAATGATGATGATGATGATGATGATAATCATTTTTTGTTAAATGATAGAAGACTCTAAAACATTTTCAGATATGTCGTCGGTTAAATAATACGTGAAAGCTAATAAATAAATAATTAGTGATATGATAAATGCAACCGGAAAACTTTTTCTAGAATGTACGTCCAAATTGGAAAATTTTCCCGTTGGATCCGTTTTTAAATTTTCAATTAAAAATAATTTTTTCCAATAGGTTTTTAATGATTTCCATAATTTTCCAGGTTTTTTAAATTTTTTCATACGATCGTATATTGTTTTCTCATCGTTTTCATTTATTTTTTCGTGAGGTTCGTGAGAATCAACGTTTAATACTATTTCCGGTGGTTTGAAATCATTTCCTGGTTTTTCCAACGAACCACGACTTGTTTTTTCCAAATCAATTTTTTCTTTTTCCATTGGAAAATTCGAAATGGATTTCCATTTTATTTTTGATGTTTCGAATGGTTTTAAATAAGTAACGACAGCTGTAACTCTTTGTCTTTTATGTAATTTTTTCGATTCTGTATAATCAATTTCCGGTTTTGTTTCGATCGTAACTCTATGCTTTAATTTTTTTCCTTCTTCTTCTTCTTCTTTTTCAGGTTTTGTTGTCGGACATGAAAACGATGCTGAACGTTTTCTCGTCGTTATTGTTTTCGTTTGTTCCTGAAAAAATTTTCATCTCGCTCAGCATTTTGTACAGGCAAATATGGAAATTTTCTCGACATCTTACCTCGATTTTCGAACCAACATCATCATCATCATCATTATCATCTTCGTGTTTTTTAATAATTTTTTTAAGTTCTTTAATAAATTTATCTTTATAATTAACAATCGCATATTCTATCATTACGGAAAAAACGGATGTAAAACATATAATGACAAACCAATCCAAAGCAGTCCAGTAGGAAACTTTAGGCATTTGTGATCTTCCACCAAAACCCAACGTCGTCAGGGATAAAACAGTTGTCACACCTGAACAAACAAACAAACAAACAAACAAACAAAGATTGTAATAAAATAATTGATTGATGATTAAATTCAGGGTATACGTACCTAAGGCCACTCTTGCAGCTACATCCTCTGGATCAATCCAAAAACTAACCCAAGAGCTTAATACAATTAGGCCACAGGGCACGTATACCTGAAATAAAAATGAATTATCGATTAAAAATCAACGGTGGTGATACGTACCAAGATTAACACGGGCAGGTACGGCATCAGGATCAATCCAAAAACTTATCCAAGAACAAACAACAATTAAACCGCAAGGTATGTAAACCTACAAAAAAAAAAAAATGTCTTCGTTGTAAATGTCCTCCATTTTTTTTTTCAATAAATTAAATAAAAACATATACCTGTAGCATAAAGTACCCGGTGTGTCTTTTTAACCAAAAATCAGCTTTGATTGTCGAATATGGTAGACCACCTTTGACCATCGTGGTACTTTTTTGAGTTGTCACGTTAACCAAATCGAATTGTGCGATTTCAACACCTTCTTGCATACCTATTGCATCTTCATCCGTCCATTTATATATCAAATCTTTATCGGTATAACCGTCTGGGTATCGAAAAAACCAAAACTTTATAACATGAAGACGAAAAAAAAGTAAAAAAATGACAAAGGAACCAACGTACAGCTTCCCAAAACGAGCGGACATTTTTGTAAATCCAATGGAAATTTTCTCAAATACATCGGACAACTTGCACTTATGGTAAGCCTCATCGAATAAGTAATAAAACCATCGTGCCTGAGCCTGAGAAATTTATTAGGTACCGTAATCCTATGCAAATATGATTTTTTACCGTTGACGAAATAAGTATCCGGTTTCCACACGCGATCCAGAAAAAGCCACGACATCGAAAACTCATCTAAACCTGAAAAAAAAAAAAAAAATAAACGGAATGAGTTGTTGTAGTGGTAAAGAAGACATTTTTTATCAACCTAAAACGTACCTGGAATTTTTTGATATTGTAAACGCCAATCATACCAATGTTGTCGAAAATAACAATCTAAACCGAAACTTTCATCGTTATCCGATACGGGTCCCATACTTTTTATAAAAAAATTAACCGAAATCGTTATCGGGGGTCCTGTGACAAACGTAAACTCCTTTAATAATTTACTGGGGAGACAGGAAGAGGGGGAGAAGGGGGATTTACAAACGGTTAAATAATTAAATACAATAAAACGTTGTGTTGAATGCATTTACGTTGCCAAAGTACGTCGTTCAACTGTTAAAAATATTTTGCAAATTTAATATATAAAATAAATTTTCTAAATTTATTACATGTACATAATTTTTAATAAATTCTCTATTGAAAATTATTAATTTTTTTTTTATTTGTTACACATAAATCAAGTCCTTATTTTTATCACACAAGGTTGATAATTTTGTTATGATAACACAAATCAACACAAAAAAATAATTAACGTACCTCCATAACCAGGTCTCAACCTTTTATCATATCTTTTACTCCCCAATAAAAAATCCAAAGTTTCCGTCACGTTTGAGGACACTAATTTACACAAAACACCCTCGTAAATAATCAAAAATGATAAAATTAATAGAAAAAAAAAATTAATTTTTCCCATTTGTTTTGTTCACTAAAGCCCCTCCCGTTAATACTTTATGTTGTTGTTGTTGTTGTTGTTGTAAAACATTTAAATTATAAAAATATTTAAAAAACTTTGGCGCGACTTAGAAAAAAATTTTTACCTCCCCACGTTAATTAATTTCCATGCCAAATAGTTTTTTTGGCTTTTCTAAAAATTTATTTAATTATTAACTAAATGAAAATAATAATAATAATAATAATATAAATTAACAAAATATATATTTAAATTTTATTATTAATGAGAAAATTATTAACCGACCACAGTTACATGTAAAAATTATTATTATTATTATTTACTCGAGTAAAAAAACCGAATTGATACAGTATTAACCCAATATTTATTATATTTAACTTATGTAGATTTGTACACATCCATAATGTTTTCCTTTATCATACTAAATAGTTATTTTGGGTAGTTTATGTTTAAATAATAGTAAAAATTTGATTTAATGATAAGTTAACGAATCTCTTAAACGAATAATCAACATCCTCCATGTTGAATCTTGATAATTTAAAAACATGTATCAAGTCGTGAAATATTTATAGCAAAAGGTTATAATATATAAAAATATAGATAATTTCAAGTCTTGATATACTTTTTCTTCTTCTTCTTCTTCGTTTAAATGATTAATTTAACGAGTAGGTTAAAAATCCTCATCTCATATTGATCTTGATTGAAAAATTTTGCTCATATTGATTATTATTATTATTATTATTATTATTATTATTATTGTATAAAATAAGAAAAATATTATTCATTTTCATGTGATAGATTTTATAAAATCTTTTGTTAATAACTTTTTTTTTTTTTTTATCAAGAATTGAATAATTGATTTTTAACATTTTACTTTCTTTTCCATCGGGCTTGGACGATCACTTTTCGATTAATATTTTTTTAATGTTTTTCTTATTAGAGCCATTCTCTGTTTGTGTGCTTCAGTAACAGTTGCTCTCTTATAAGGCCTTAAATCATCTGTTCCAAAACCTGGAATGGACATGTTCCAATTTCTTTCCAAATGCAATTGAACATCTTTTATATCCACTGTGTTTGCATGCCTGTGTTTGGCGAAAACACAAGCTGCATTGACTGTGCTTTCGACAAAATCATCCGCCAGTTGAAGAAGTAATTCTTCCACTTCGTCATCTAATTGTTCTGTCGCATCGACTTCCCTAACTAAATCTTGTAACCTAGGCCTTGTCAATATTTGTGAATGTCCCTCTGTTGATTTTGATTGTACTGATTGTGTGGTTGGACTTGGACTAAGGCTACTACTGTTATTACCACCGGCTAATGCAGTGGTTAATGGTGAATGCATGACAACTGATGATAATGTTCCTAAATTAGGAGCTGGAGATGCATGTTCAGCATTTACAACATGTGACATCTAAAATTCAACACATTAATTATAATTTTTTAACACAAAAAATAAATTTTAAAAAAATAATGATAATAATAAACGTTAACAAGTACTAAAGTATGTCATTCCATTATGTAAAATCAATTTGCTGGAATACAAAAAAATATTTACCTGAGTTCCTGGTTCGGTAATAGCTGTGTGGGTGGTGGTGGTGGTCCTTTGAGATGATTGACCAAGATTCTCTATATTAGATACCACATGACGCCTCTCAAGGAAGGCGCTTATAAAAAAAAAAAAAAAAAAATTATATTAATATATAACAATGGTAAACACGAGACAAGTGATTCCAGAGACGAGTCAACTCCAGCACTGCCGGTTGTTCCCGCCGAAAAAAAAAAAATTTGAATTTTATTTTTCGTATTCGTACATATACACGTATATAAATATTTTTTTTTTCTTATTTAAAAGCGTTACGATAAAATTTTTTTTTATTTTTTATTTTAAATACCTAAATTCTTTGCTGTAGGCCTCAATTTTGTATAAATAAATTAAACACTTGAAAAAAAAAAAAAAAATTAAAATTTATTGTAACCGCCGCCGCCGCCTTAATCGCGATTCCCTTATTGGAATTGAAATTCCAGTGACCACAGATTACAGCAGCAAAACGTTCGTTATTTTTCCTTCTTTTTTTTTTAAATTTATCTTAAAAAGCATAGACTACAACAATTTTTTTAAATTTTTAGACTCACTTTTACTAAAAAAACTTTATTTTACGTTAATTTTGAATTATAAAAAACTTAAAACTCCATTTTTTATGTAAATAAATAACTACTGCAACAATTTTAATAATATATCGATTAACGGTTATTAATTTTTTTTTTGTAATGGCGATCCGTTACCTGTGTGTATGTAAGTGTGTATTTTTTAAATTATTATTATTAATAAATAAAATAAAATTATGTCAGCTTACCAGCACTACTATTGAGTTTAAATTCGTATTGAAAATAAAAGTGTAAAACGTTAGATATAATTATAAGAAATCATTATGTGTGTGTGTGTGTGTGACAAACAAACGGTATGCTGCCATCTTGTCAAAAATTTTATTGTTTTGTTTTAATAAAATTCAATTTTTTTAGTTTTGTTAATCACAATTCTACTTTTTTCATTAATTTTAAATGTTTTAAACTAACAACAAGTCAAATAATTCCATTTACCATCTTTATATTCCATATCGAAACGATTAAAGTAAAGAATTCGTTAAAACGTCACAGTCGACATATTTAAAACTGTTTGAAAAATACAAAATTTGCGGTTGTAAATCAGACAATCCCATTAAACTCTTTTTTACATCAAACATACATCGACATAAATCAAAAAATCAATAAATAAAAACAATTACTTTATAAAAATTTAATAAAAATAAATTTATTCCTATTTATGATTGATTGATAACATAATCACACGACACAATATATATATATATATATATATATATATATATATATTATTTATTAATGTTAATTAAATAATTTCCTTTTTTCTTTTTTTTTTTTCATTTTTCGTGAAATTTAAGAGATAATGCTTGAATGACGAAACATAAAACGTCCGTAGCTTCTTCGATCTACAATAATAATAATAATAAAAAAACAATTAATGGCGTATATTTTTGTTAAAAATACGTAAATAAATTCAACGAATGACACTTGCTAGTTTAGCCGTGGGTTTTCCAGATCCGTGTCCGGCTTTCGTATCGATTCTTATTAGCAAAGGATTTTTTTGCTGCGGGCAATTTTGCAAAACGTGTTGTACTTCTGCTATGAATTTGAGCGAGTGAAGTGGAAGAACTCGATCGTCCCGATCTGCCGTCGTCACCAAAAGAGCCGGATACTACACCCAAAAAAAAAATTAATTAATTAGTTAGTAATTCTTCGGCGTTTCAGTTATATATTTATTATTTAAAATTTACTTGAACGTCGCCATTTGTTGGAATTTTAACGTTGTGCAGTGGAGAATATTTATAAAGATATTCGAATTGATCTTTGACGTCAGACGACCCGTAATCCGAAACCCAAGCCGAACCGATTGTAAATTTTTGAAATCTCAACATGTCCATGACGCTGGAAAAGTATAACAAAAATTAAAATTAAAATGGCGGAGTGATCACGTGACTTCGTCCCATATGACAACAACGTACCCGGCACCGCAAAGAACGGCACCGAACAAATCTGGTCTTTGAATCGTGCAAGCAGCCACTAGGAGACCCCCGTTCGAATCTCCTTTTATCGTCAACAAATTACTTCTCGTGTATTTTTCCCGTATCAAATATTCCGCGGCGGATATGAAATCGTTGAACGTGTTTTGCTTATTTTCAAATCTTCCTTTGTTGTGCCATTTTTCACCGTATTCCCTGCGAAGAAAGAAAACCACGAATTAGCTCCTGCTGCATCAAATCATTATTATCGAATCCATATCCGTTAACCCTTACCCTCCGCCTCGAATGTTGGGAATTGCCAAAACTCCATTTAAATGTTTCATGAAAACGGTAAAAGTAACGTTGAAAAATGGTTTGATGGAAATGTTAAAACCTCCGTAACCGTAAAGCAAACAAGGATTCGATCCGTCGAGTTTTATACTTTTCTTGTGAACGACAAACATTGGAATTTGTGCGCCATCTTTGCTCGTGAAAAAAACTTGTTTCGTAGTATAATCCTCTCTGTCGAAACCTTCCGTTTTCAACTCTTGATGAATCTTTTTTTCATTTTAGAAAAACACAGAAAAAAAAATTGTAAACCTTTTTATGGCACATTTGTAAAATTACTTTTTTAAAATAAAAATCTCACCTCGGTTTTTAATTCCGGATCGTTTAATTGACACCTGTAAATAATTCCGGGCGTCAAAAAATTTGTCATTTTGAAAAAAATTTCCGATGATTTTTTTTTACCGGAAAATCCGACGATGTTACCGATTCCGACATCGAACGTGTGTAATAATTTACAATCGGAAAGTTCCAAGTATTGTATAATATCCTGCATAAACAAAAAATAGAAAAATTTATTAATAATGTTTCGCCGTTTAAATTTCATAACGACCGTTAAAAAATTTATATCTTTACTAACGACTACATCGTGCATGTAACAAACGACGAGTTTGTTATGATTCACGGCGACGACCCAATCAAGAACATCAGATGGATGTTCCTTAAGGAGAGTCTCCCAATTATCTTCTTTAGGATTATCAAAATTAATTTTAATTAACCTGAAAAAAAAAAAAACCACACACAATCAATGAATTGAATCGAATTAATCAATAACTCATACTCGAGTAAAAAAAAAAAGAAAAAAAAGTTTTTTAAAAACCTGTAATTTGATGCATTCTTATTCGTTTTAAATATAAATTCTGATCCAGTGTTTGTTACATATTCATAATCTGCTTCTAAATTACTCACAACTTCTGTGATGGGTAATTTTCCACTGATTTGATGATTGATTTTATTTAAATCACAAAAATAAACGAGATTGTCACGACAGCCTTTTTGAAGATAAATAATTAAATACCTGAAAGATATAAAACATAATTTTTTTCAATGGGGAAAAATATTAAAGGATTAAAAATTAATTATATAAAAAATGATACTAATACACTTACCTACCACAATGCGAAACATTAGTAGATATTCTAAATTTTGGTTCGTCAGGAAATTCAAGAACCAATATGTCTTCCGATTGTGGTGTTCCTAATCTGTGATAATAAAGTTTTTGATGTTCATCGTTAACTGTTTCTAAAACGTTGTCTTTGACTTGAACACTTTTCGGATACATCTGAAAAAAAATGTATAATAATGCATATATTAATGTATTTATGTATATTGTATGTATTGATGTATTTATTAATTACTATTTAAATAACCCATCATTACCCCATAAAATATTCCTTTGTTATCATGAGTCCAAGAAATGGTAGAAAATTTCACTCTCGTAAGTTCTTCCGAATATTTTTTATTCGATTCGACATCCTTAAAGTGAATTGTAACCCAATCAGATCCTTTAGATGAAAGACCATAGGCTAATGTAGATCCATCTTCGGAAAACTCAAACAAACTCATGGCAACTGTTCCATCATCAGATAATTCATTCGGATCGAAAAAAACCTTTGATTCTGCACTTAAATCTTTCTGAGTGTACAACACACTAAATAAAAATTTTATATATTTTAAAATTAAGTTTTATTTTTTTTTTTTAAATTTATTATTATTAATTCGATTACAAACCTTTGATTTTGTAAACCTGAATTTTTAAAATAAAAATATCTGGATCCTTCGTGAAATGGACATGAATATTTTGGGTAATCCCATAATCCCTTCAATGCATTATTTATGGCTGTACGATAAGGGCACTCTGAAAATAATTAAAAATTTCAATTTAAAACTAGGGGGTTTATAATAATTAATAAATTGATGATTATGTGTAGTATGCATAAACGACAAAATTTCTTTTTACTTACTGTTGAAATAGTTTTTTGTAATGGCATTTTGTTTTTCTATAAAATTTTTAGTTTCGCTAGAATCAGGATTTTCTAACCACCTATATGGATCCCCAACCTTAATTCCAAAATAATTGTCCACAATAGACTCATCTCTTTTTACTTCTGGATACTTTATTACTTCCTCTTCAATCATTGTGTCCTGAACGGTTAAAAAAAATGTTTTTAATTTATTTTACGAGTAAAAGAATATTTTGAATTTACACCTTTCAAGTTAAATAGAAGGAGGTTTCGTTGGAGAAAATGATTTCAGTTTATAGTTTTATGGGTTGGCACTTTAAAAAAAAAAAAAAAAATACTGATTAAAATTCAAAATATCTCCATAATTCATTACATGAGTAATAAAAACTTGGAGTCTTTTAGGTTACTCAAATTTTTGGTTTATTAAATTTGGACAATTTTTTTATTATATACCTAAATTTTTTAGAATTATAGTATTAAATCCTTTTAAAAGTAAATAACCTTATATAATAATAACAAGCTCAATGAAACTATACAATTTTTAAAAATTTATTTCAAAAGCTTTCCCAACACAATGCTTGGTTGTGGGATGGTTAAGTTGAGTCAAAAACCGGATGCTTTACTTGTGCTGACTATTAAGAATTTATTTGTTAATATTTATTCTCGAGAAAGCTTGTGTTTAATCTACACAATAAAAAAAAAAATGAAATTACGGAAGAAAATAACAAACGGAGTGCTTATAAGCAAAATACCTGTAATATTTTCGGTTTGCCAGATGGGACCTTTTTAGGCAATTTTAAATTCTGACTAAAACATGAACGATGTAATACTCTATAACAAACAGACAATTTAACTTTGCCTTTTAAAACAGTTAAAATTTGTCGGTGAGTCAGTGCTGCCATCTTATAACTAAAATTGTAATTACCCGGTGACGCGTCGAAAAAGTTAACGGTTTTTTTTTTTTTAAAAAAAAGCTCAGAGAAAATAAAAAGGAATTTTTTATTTGAAATATTAAATAAAAAAAAAAAGTTAAAAAATTGACTCGGAAGCAAAAAGGAAAATAATAAAATAGTTATCAAAGTTATAAATATTAAAATATTAAGTAAGTTTCTTTAAAAATCACATCCGAGTAGTAACTTACTGAAAAAGTAAAATGGAGGATGAAAAACAATCAGAAAATTCATTAATAAAAGAAAATTATTTAGAAAAAGAACTTGAAAAATACAAAAAAGAAAATTTTCTATTAGAAGTAACAATAAATTCTTGGGAAAATACTTTGGAAAAAAAATTAAACGAATATAAAATAATAGAATCTCAATTGGTAAAAATTTTAAATTTTTAGCATACAATTTTAAATTTAACGGTTTTTTTTTTTTATAAATAAACGTTTTATTTTTCATCTAGAACGAAATTCATAGAAAAATATGGTCACAAAGGGATAATTTTTGCAATGAAGCAGATGAATTCATAAAAGAATACGGTATTTTATCAGATAGGAGAAAAAAACAATTGATGTCGATTAGAGAAAGAAATAAAACAACGTTTAACGACATAACTCATATTAAACATGGCGATGAATTTATCAATTTTGAAAACGATATAAAAAAACAAAAAGAAGAACAAAACTCTAAAATTATTCAGTCTGAACAAAATTTATCTTGCGATGAGTATTTACTAAGGTTAAATACATTTGTAAACAGTTTTCAAAACGTTAAGGTATACGCTTTAAGGTACAAAAACCGTAAATTTTCTTCTTTTTTCTTTTAAGTGATGACGATTTAAAAGATTTTCAATCCTCGGATTCACTCCAGATTAATACAAATACCTCAGATAATGAAAATTCTACACCGGAAGAACCCGAACAACCTGAAGATTTCACACCGGAAGAACCCGAACAACCTGAAAATTGCACACTGGAAGAATCTGAACCTGAAAATTCTTATCAATTATCTCCAGAAAATAAACTTTACGCTTTAATGGATTTTGATAAGTTACAAATGATTATCAATCGAAGAACGAAACGAAAACAATAATAATAATAATAATAATAAATTATTTAATTAATTTTTATTTTATTTTTAAACGATATCAAGTTGTCCCTTTTTTTTATAATTTTTAATAATTAATTTTAATAAAAAAAATAAAAACAAATTAATAATAATCGAGTTTATCATTTTATTATTATTATTATCATTTTCATTATTTTTATCATTATTATCATTTATTTAAACACGCTTCCGGATCAAGTTTAAATTTTCGAATAATTCGTTCTTTTGAGCAAAATAAATCTACATTCATCATCATCATTATTATTATTATTATACGTTCAAGGATAAAAATTTAATTAAACTATTAATATTATTATTATTATTATTATTATTAAAATGAATGTATAATAATCCTTTTTTTTTTTTTTTAAAAAAAAAAAAAATTATACACGCGTTATGGGAATCATATGAATATTTACTGTAGTACACATTTTCTCCCCCCGCCCCGCTCCCTTTTCGCAAAAAAGAAAGAAGGGGAGGAATTAAAAAATAAAAATAAAAAATAAAACAAATTCACTTTTATATAAATTCTTCGGCTTCTCTCGGAGCATCCAAATCTCTATAATGTATCACTTGACGAAAATCTTGTGCCGGAGGTCCTCCCCTTCCCCGAAAAGCTCCCCTCATTCCTCTCATGCTGTAACCGTAGAATCCACCACGAGGAGGATACCCGTAAGGTGCGTAGCTAGAAAAGAAAAAAACAAAAAAAATTTTTTTCGATTTGTAATGACGACGTCTCATACCGTTGAGCAAATTCTCCCTCGGGAGAATTAATAAACTTGACTTACTGCGGAGCATAAGATGGAGGGCCTTGAGTGGGAGGATTAAACGGTTCCGGCTCTCTTCTCACGGGTGCTTTGTTACCAGGATGCTCGGCTAACTGCGGCCGTTTCGGATCCTGTTCAGGGTTGTTACACAAAAGGGAACAATTAAAACGAGTCAAAGAGTAAAAAAAAAAAAAAAAAAACAAATTTAAAAAAAAAAAAAAGGATTATTACCATTAAATAATTATTAAAATATTCAACTTCTTTTACAACCTCTTGAACTTTTTCCGCGTGTTTATTCTGTATGTGTTTCCTCACGAAATCCGGTCCTTTGAATTTTTTACCCGACAGCGGACACAACCATTTGTCTTTGGACAATTCCTGCGTGTTGGCTTGAATAAATTTTTCCACTTCTCTGCATAACAAAAAAAGGGAAAAATTTCATTTTTAAAAAAGTTTCAAACTTGAAGGTATAATTTTCATGATTTTTGCATGTTGGTAACACACGTACTTGTCCGGGTCTTTCGCTCCCAATTTTGCCAGTTCCGGCGGGGACAAGACTTGATTGGGCGTGACGAGAGTCGATATTTTCGTTTCGAATTGCTTGCAATAGTCTAGAATTTCTTGTTGCGAGACTTTGGTAGTTGGAGCGAGGCCTCTCGCGTGAATGAGTCCACATCTTTTTGATTAAATCACGCAATTTTAATTACGGTTGATGGCGTTCGATAAAATAAAATTTAAAAAAATTTTTCAAAACCTGTTGGGCATTTCATCCTCTTGCGGATATTCACAATGATTGTAATAGTCCACGGAGTAAACGACTCGAAGGTACAACAGCAATCGATCCAGGACTTTTATCAACGAATCATCTCTTTCGATTGTACATGCATCTTCCGTTTGACCGCCATCTTCGGCTTGCGTCGTTCCCAACAACTCTTCCTCTTCGGCAGAAGCTTCTTCAATTAAATAATCGGTTATGTTACGCAAAACTGGATTGTTGGACACGAGACCGAAGCTCTTGAAAAAAGGAAAAATTCAATTGACTACGTTTAATACACGATTTATAAAGGTTACGACTCGTTCGTCGCCATCATTGTTGAAAAACGTCTTCGGCTATCATTAAATATAGAATTTCTAATGACACCTTCTCTGTTTTCTTTTTTTTTTTTTCATTTACTTTTGCACGGTGTCTGAACGAACGTGTTTTAATTTTTAATTTTTCACGTTCGTAATTCTCCGTGCCGAGAAACACCATCATCATCATCATCATCATCATCATCATGACTTACTTGAGCAGCTTCTCCTCCCTCCAATCCATTTTCGCTAGGTTCAGTCCATAGATTATTCCTGGCATCTAACGTGTGAGTCATTTTAGCTGCGAGTTTTATGTCGTGTCGCACGACTTGTTTGTGAGATGTTATACCATTAACCGTTCTAACTCGTCGAGTGAGATCTTTATTGACGATGGCTCCTAACTCACAATCTCTTAACTGGAAAAAAAAAAGGTAATAATAATAATAATAATAATAATCATCGGTCATCGTGGGAGCAGCCGCAGCATCACTGGTGGGAACCATGCCATGCCATGCCACCACATTCAATAAAAGGAAACCATCCGGGAAATTGCACTACGTGGGACGAAATTCTTCGGGAAAATACTATATAAATATGACCGATTCGAGAATTTATCCCTGAGGACTCGTCTGGAATGTTTATTCCGTTTAAGAGTGACCATAATAATAATAATAATAATAATAATTACCCGAATATTATTCAAATTCCAACAAATTTCTTTTATGTTAACGTGTCGTTCAAAAGTGACCCATCCTCGTCTAAACCACCTTCGTTCCGCCTGTGGTTCCGCTAAAGCAACTCTTAAAAAACCCGGATACCTTTTGCACATCTATAAAAAACGATATCGTAAATTAATCGAATTCCTTCAAAATAATAATAATAATAATAAAGTAAAAGAATATAATTAGGTGGCGAACTAACTCCCTCGACTTCGGCTTTGGTTATTGTCGGAGCTAAATTTCTCAAAAATATACTAGAAGTTTTATGTAGGTCTCGCCTACGATTTTCAACTTCCATCAATTCGTTTTCCCGTTCTTCTTTTTCCTCTTTATCCACGACGCTTTCCTCCTTATCCTCGGATTTTTCATCTTTGTCAGGCTCAGAATTTTCTTGCCTGTTGTTTTGAGACTCGCTTTCACCCTCCCCTTCCGAATCGAATTCGTTTTTCTTTTTACTTTCTCCATTTCCCGATTTATCCGCTTCCTCTCCCGGAGGAGGAGGTTCTTCCAATTTTGAAAAAAAAAAAAAAAAAAAAAAAAATCAAACGAGGAAAAGTAGTAGTGGTGGTGGTGGAAATAAAAAAAAAATAATTAAAAAAAAAATAAAAAATTTTTTTTCCCTTTTTACCATTTTTTATCGGTTTATTATTCTCTTCTTCGCTTTCGCTCCCACTTTCAAAATCATATTCTCTTTTTCTTTTATTCCTCTTCTCTTCCGTCGTCACGGGTTTTTCTCCCTTATTATTATCCGTCGTCTCCTCATCCTCCTCCTCCTCCTCCTCCTCCTCTTCCTCCTGTACGTTTTGCTTTGAAAATTCTTTCGCTTGATTTTGAAGTTCGACTTGTTCTTGATCAATATCGATTTGCATTGGTTCTATCGGTTTGTTATCATCATTATCTTTTTTCTTTTCTTTTTCATCGTCACTTTAATTAAAAACAATTTTTTTTTTTTTTTTTTAATAAAAAATTAACAAATTAATAAAAATTGACAAATTGTTGTTGTTGTTGTTGTTTGTACCTTTCTTCTAAAACAAATGGTTTCTCTTCGGGAACAGGTTCAACTTCTTTAACTTTATTTTGAGGAGCGGGAGCAGTTTCTGGAGTTTCGAGAGCTTTTAAATCCATTTCGTTTCCACCCTCCAATCTGACAACAACGCAATCCATCAATCTAATTAATGCTTCGCTTTGATCTCCGTCCAAACGTACGCTATCGATTAAACCTTTTTCCAAAAATTCGTTAAATATGGCCACTCGATTCTAAAAATCCCAAAAAAAAAGCATTTCATTAGAATGAAGATGAAAAGCGCAATTTTTCCCATCCGGGAAAACACTCCCTGTCACGTGATATTTACCTTTAGCGCAGCCAATTGTTCTTCTTTTCTCTTTACCGATTCTTCCGGATGGTATTTTATTTTAAACCTAAAAAAAAAATTTTTTAACATTCTGTATTGACAAATTGTTATTGAAAAATAATAATAATAATAATAATAAATAAATAAATAAATAAATAAAAAATAAAAATAAACAAAATTACGAAACGTAGCAAAGAGAAAAATAAAAAAAAATAAAAAAAAAAATTTAGATTTATGAAATCGATTTCAAAAACCAACACCGAAAAGAAAAGAAAACTGACCGTTCCTACAGGAAGAAAATTACAATTCCTGTTTACTATATATATAAAGGTCAGTTCTTTTCATTTAAAAAAAGAACATTATGATAATTATTTTAATTTTATTTTTTAAAATAATAATTTATCGTTATTATTATTATTATTTTTACTATTATTATTATTAATATTATTATTGTTATAATTAATATATATATATATATATATATTCTTAACGTAATGAAACAAAATAAAAAAAAAAAAAAAAAAAAAAAAAAAAAGAGAAAAAAAAAAAAAAATTGGATGTTTTTGTATTACCGTCATCTCTCACCTGTCAATCACACACAACCAGCGGTAGATAAAATCGCTGCCATATTTAAATTTATATATACATATACCCCTCCCCATATATATATATTTTTTATAAATTTATATGTAAATATTAAATATATAATTTTATCCCTTTAATAATATATAAATATACATTTATCAAACTTTTTTTTTTTTTTTTTTCTTTCTTTCTTTCTTATTAAAAAAATTTTTTTTTTTTTTAAAATGTAAAAAATTTTTATAAAAAAAATTTCAATTAGTAAACGATGAATTTTCACTCTACATATAAATATACATATATATATAAATCTTGATTTTGATGATGTCGGATCCTCGGCGATACTAAGCTGTATGGAAAGAACGGCAGTCGTTTTTGTTATATTTACAAAAATCAAACACGAATAAATATAATAACAGTTTATCAATAAAAAAAAAAAAATGGAGGTAAAGGTTGTTTGCATCAGAATGTTATATTCTGCAAAAAAAAGGAAATCGAAGAGAGTGTACATGCGAATGATTTCTAATTCTGCAAACATTGTAACAAAGAAAAGAAAGATGGAGGAATCACATTAGAGCACAAATCGCTATGATGATTGTTACCTTCCATGGGTTATCATTATGACAATAAGTAGTAATATTTACATCGAAAAGGATCTTGAAAAATTATATTATTCCTTATAAATTAAAAATGAAATGATTTATAAAAAAGTAATAAATTAAATTATTCAAGAATTTGAGCTGCACGATGATTTATGTGGCAAAAACAAAATGGCGACGATAGAATAAAGAAAATTAAATTGAAATTTATGAATAAAACTAAATGAATTATAAAGGTTATCATGATGGCGTCACTGATTGTCAGGGAAGAACTTAATAAAGTGATCATATAGATTTAAAAGATATGATACAAAAAAAAAAAAAATTAACATACCATTCCTCGTCTTTGTGGGCTACAAAAAATTCATTGAGTTGTTGTCTTTTAAATTCTAGTTTGTACTCATTATACTTTGTCATTGCTTCTTCATCTGTTATCGTATCATCTTGAGATTGGAGAAATGCTTTGAAAGACATCATAGCTGGTTGAGTTTCCAATCCGCCAGTCGGAGCAGGTTCCCTGGGTCAAAAACAAGAATATATGGGAAATATTTGATATATACAAAAACAAAAAAAAAGCCAAAAATAAGGTTTCATTAAGTAAAACTAACCTCGGATGAGCATTTGCATATCGTTCGCTGGCACCATATTCATGGCCCCATGGTCCCCCATAGGGTGCATAATCAGCACCTGCATACCTTCTATCATCCCTATAATTGTATTTTTTGATATAACAACATTTTAAAATATAAAAAATTACATAATAAAAATGATGTTAACATTGCATTACTGTTTCGAAGAAAACTTAAACTTATGAATTTTAATTTTAATTAATGTAATCTTATTAATAATTGTAAAATATTAAAAACAAAATGGTGTATTGGTTTAAATAACCGGAATACATAATACTTACCAACCATCAGCTTTGTACCTCTTCACTGGTGGTGCAGGAGAATATCTTTCCCTAGTAGAACCACCTCTATATTCCCTATATTCACCTCTGGTCGATCTAGATACTTGTCTACCACTCCCTATCGGAGACTCTCTACAAAAAGGAAAAGCACGCTTAAGAAAAAACTAACCAATCTTGCTTACCGGATAGAATGCCATTTGCCCACCTTTCGTTCCATTCATCTCTTCGGCTATCACTCGAGGAACCTCTTCGACTATCTCGAGAATAACTTTCAGTTCTTTCTCCTCTAAATTTATCCCTCCTTTTACGATCATATTCATCATCGCTGTCCCCCATTACGATCTACCTAAACACTCACATCAATTTAACAATCATAAAAATAAACCGATAAATAAATAAATATAACAATTTATCAAGTCTTAAATGTTAAATTGAGTATTTAATTTGATTAACTATCATACTAAATCGATTAAAATAAAATTTTAAGGTTAAATATAAAGTTTACAAAGTGTTTACCTAAAGTTGCTTACAACGTCCATGAATCTCCACAAGCGAATACGGTAATGAATCGACAAAATGGCGTCTTTGGCGGCAGCCATGTTAATTCGTTGTCTTAACCAAAAAAAATGATGAAAATTTTCGAAATTTTTTTTTTTTTTTTAAATAAATAAATATTCGCGCGCGAAAATAAAAATAAAATAACAAAAATAAATAAATTGCAGACATTTTTTAAAAATTAAACTTAATTTACAATCATTTAAAAACAATTAACATTAAATTATTATTATTATTATTATTAAAAAATTATATATACGTTTCACATATATATTTACGTTAGCAAACGAATCGAATTTTTTTTTTTTTTTTTTTTCATTTATAATTTTTATTTATAAATAATCGAAAATTAATTAAAAATATAAGCATTAAATAAATTTATCGTTATCGAATTTCATTATAGCAAAATTCATTAACGATAGCAAAAATGTTACCAAAAAAAAAAAAGGGCCATTTAAAACTATAGGGAATACACTCTTTCGTAAACATCACATTTATCCCTTTTAAAATTTAAATAATTTTATTATTATTATTATTAAACTTACGGTAATAAAATTATTAATAATAAGGATAATAAGGATAATAATAATAATAAAACATTACGTAATAATAATATATAAATTATATTCCAGCATTTACAAAATTTTCAAAAAATTCCAAATAAAAAAATCAAAGCTTTATTATTATTATTATTATTATTAAAACGATGAGACGATTTATTTATTAATTAATAATTTATTTATTTATTATTTTTTATTGTTTTTATTTATTTAAATTATCACTGCGCTTAATAATAATAATAATAATATATATATATATAAATCATAAAAATAAATTTTTTTTTTTTTGTAACGAATTAAAGAACATTTAAACACTATTTATTTATTTATTTATTTATTTATTTATTTAATTAATTAATTAATAAGAAAATCAAAGCGTTTTTAATTAATAATAATAATTATTATTATTATTATCATCATCATTATTTCGATCATTTCGAACGTGAGTAACAATAATAAAAAAAAAAAAAAAAAAAAATTTAAATAAATAAATAAATAAAAATTTTAAAAATAACTGTTGCCATTTTGAAAAGCAGAAGACATTTCCCTTTCGTTTCGGGGTGGGGGGGGAGAGAGAAGAAGGAAGAAGGGAGGGAGATGGGGGAGGAGTAAGAAGAGATCATCTCATCATTATCCCTGCCTTCCTTCTTTCCTTCCTCTCTCTTTCACTCCCACACCACCACCTCCCATCCCTCCTCCTTCTTCTTATTTCGACACCATTTTTATTATTATTATCATTTACATATTTTCAAATCAATAAAAATCCAATAAAATCAATAACCGATCGATTCGTAATAATAATAATAATAATAAACAAAAAAAATTAAAATTATAATTATAATAGTACAAAATATATTGATTACTGTTATCATCACAATGATATCATTTCACATATTTTTATAATAATAATAATAATAATAATAATAATAATAATAGAAACAAAAATTAATTACAATTATTATTAATTAATAAGACAAAATTCACAAAATTTTTAAAGTGCTACGGTTGTGGCGGCGGCATCGGGGGGGGGGGCGTGGGGCGAAGGCGGCGGGGGGTGCAGGGGGTAGGGAGAGAAGAAAGGGGGGGGGCGTGCGGTAGAATAAAAATAAAAAACAACGCGATTTATCTTATGTATAAATTTGTTTTTAACAAGATGAGGAGGAGGAGGAGGAGGCCGAAATAACGACATTTTAAAAACACGTGATATTAATGATAATAATAATAATAATAATAATAATAAGCAAAATGATAATAATCTACCTACGATTATGTTAATTATTATTATTATTAAAAAATGATTGACGATTAATTAATTAAAAATTTATTATTCAAATGCATCATTTTTTTTTTGTGCACGATTATCATCATTATCATTATCATTATTATTTGTTTTCTTATTGATAACGTTATCGTATTATCATTAAAAGAAAAAATTAAACGATGAGAGGGGGGGGTCGGTTTGAACGGGTGATAAAATTTGCAATTTTTTCCAAAAAAAAAAAAATTAAATAATAATAATAATAATAATGTGTAGTAAAAAAAAAAATTAATAACAATTAATAAATAAATAAATAAACTACACATACATAATCGTCACAATTAATAATAATAATGATAATAATAATAGTTATTTTGCCGCTCGCGCGTTTACATAATATCATTTCCGGGTTTAAACAACGATCATACATTTAAAAATTATTATTATTATCATTTTTTATTTATTTATTAATAATAATAATAATGATAAAACACAGACATGAAAAAACAAACGGTCAAATACAATTTTATTTATTTTTTTTTTAAATCGAGGAGGATCAATGTATCGATTAATCGAAAAATCGACGACGACGACGACGACGTGTGACGTCATCGCGATGTTTTCGATTCCAACACGTAAATAATTAATTA